TGAGTAATGCAGATCATGAACACTCCTCTTCAGAAAAGACAACAAGATTGTTCTTTCAGAATTATCAGTTTAAATAAAAATTATATTTACTGCATATAAAACACACATCTAAGACATAAAAGGAAAACTTTAGATTTCTTCACAGTAGTAACAGTTTTAGCAAGGAGGCTGAAGTCTATGCTGTGCTTAGTAAACAGTCTTTTCCTGAATTCAAACATATCCAGTAGCAGAGAAGCAACAGACTGTGGTCATATCAAGTGCCTGAGATGGGATTTCGATCATCTAACTTTTGGTATCTACAATACACGTCTCCATTTCTGCTAGTGATCTAGCAGATCACTTGGAATAACAAAGGGATACAGGAGCTTTAAGATTCCAGTTAACCTCAGTCTTAGGCAGACACACAAAATATACTAGACAAGACATCCTTAAACTATGTATTTCTTCACAATGACCACAGACAACTACCTCCAATGAAACTGTCTGTATCCTGATATTTTAAAGAAGGTGAGATGAATAACACATTGGTTTTCTATGGGCTTAATTGGGTAACATACCACAAAAAGAAACCACAAAGATCAGAGCAGCATTGCTTAGTTTCAACATGTAAACCATGAGTTTTAGTCAATGCATTATTACAGCACTTGCTGTTAAAGACATATTGTACACACATAATAAGCTCCCTTTCATTCAATTCTCCCTCTCCAGAACTTAGTAAAAAATAAAATGTTTTCCTGCAGGTTACCACTTACTCTAGAATATCATCTCCCTGTTTAGCAATAACACAGGTATTCTCTTGCCCAACAGACTCTGCCTTCAAAAGGGAACAAAATTTTTGCTGCATGTTCTTCATTACACAAAACACAAGATTCTCATATGCTCATATCAGTTATTAACTAAATTTACTGAACAGCCTTAACTTTTATTTTCTCAATTATTCTTCAGCTTTACAGCACAGCTGGAGTGCTCTACAAGCAGTGTATTCCACCACAGCCTTCTCTTGCTTCCCTGGTTAGTGAAATCAGGGCATAGCTTTGCAGGACAGAACTCAAGGTATGATCGTTACGAGTGTCTGCAGTACCAAAGACACTGTTCAGGGAGGGGGAAAGCAAGCACAAAAGCACTGTCACAGCTAGACAAAGGAAATGGAAAAACTGGTCTGTTACATATATGACTGAAAACATTATCAGATAACTTAAAAAAAAATAATCCAAACAACAAAAAGCCTACCCTATTAGTTATACTCACACCTTCACTGAAGAGGAACAATACATCTCCTCTCACATTACCCTGTGGAGAGCCATTTACATTCCCTGGCATCATTCTCTCAGCTGGGATCTCAGACTCCATTCTCTGATGCTGAACACGACTCCTAACACTTCACAATAACTGGTCTAGAAATGCATTTGTCACATAGTCATTACTTTTTACCATCTTAATCTGTGCACTCCATGTTTACTTTGCAGATGTGCACCCAACTGTGCCAAAGCTGTGTATTGCAAAAACAGTGATTTCCCTGTAATTAATACTTTTTATTAATAAAAACCATTTCTGTGAGATGTTGCAGTACTTCATTATTTTTCTGTAAGAGGGGACTGAATTTTCTTTCTGTGTAAGGCTTTTTTTTATTACTCCTTGTCTTATGCTTCTGTAATTCCACTCCACTGTATTATTTAGCCATATGTCTCTTTCCTCAAAAAATGCCAGAAGCAAATCCATGGCATCTGTTTGAGAGTTACTGCCCAAGCCATTCTTTAGGATTGAGGTTCACTGGTTGTTGCTGCCTACCTGGAGTCTGATAGTTCAGTGAGACCATCTGGCAGCCAGCGTTCCAGAAAATTTGAGGCATGTAATTACTGGAATCCACTCGGCCTCCCTTTGGGTATATCCGACTCATTTGTCGTTTATTATAACTGTAGAATTCATCAAGGAAAATGAAATAAAAACATAATAGAATTGCATAGTCATATCCTGGTATCTTCAGTATTTCTCACATTGATCTTACTATTTCTCCTTCCATGAGCTACTTTCCCTTTTCCTTTATAGACATGGAACACTATATATCCAGGAAGGTACACTTGTTTATTTGTAGCATTGGTAGAGAAGGGGAATGAGGAGATGAAAGGATACTTCACAAACTCAATGGCATGAGTCTTCAAATACCCTAGTCCGACTGATTCATTGAAGGAGGACATATTATGATGAATATTACGTTCTAGGAAGAAAAGACAAGACATTTTAAAACACTCCTGTAATGACGAATCAAAACTCAAAATCATGCACTATACGTATGAGCAGAATATAGCATGTTCTGCTCTCTTTCCCCATTATCTGTTATTCATAGAATCAAATTACACTGATGAAAAATTTCATAGTATTTCTGACTTGCCTGGTTCTTTTCCACTTCCCGGGAAATCAAAAAAACTTTAATTTTTGGTTTAGGACAAAATTATTATACAGCAACTGTGTTGTGTGGCTAGATAAGGCAAAACAACATGACAAATGGTCTAGTGTGCAGTAACATCACAGTTAGCATCAGCTAACTGCTGACCACTGTGACATTCATGCTCACCTCACTGTAGAGAAAGATGAACTAAAAAAGCATTTCAGTTGGAAAGGCCATAGAATAGAATCAACCTCAACAAGCTTCATATTCTCCCAGTAGTTTAGTGACTCCTTGTGGATGACCAATGGAATAACATGCTAACTTTACATTCAAGGAAACAGATCTAAAAATATACTGATGATGGTCATTAAACTATAAAGGTCTTATGCCTACATTTCTAAACTCAGGAAATGTAGAGACTAAACTACCTAGGATAAGCAAATACTTTTATTTCATTCAACCTTTTATGTTACCTTCTGCTACATCGAAACCTTGAAATTTTACAGGTTGAGCATAGTTGACCATTGTTGATAAATATGGATGTATATTGGTTGTGGCACCTACATATTTGTAAGATGCCATCCACGCTTGCTCATCTTCAACAGTTACTAAACCCTGAAAACACATTAAAAAGAACAATTACTATTTCTGTGTGCAAACACTATTGTTGGAATTTTCAAATGTGGCACAAAATTATACTCAAATCTGCAGAAAGTTAAAGAAAGTGCAAATTAACACAAGCAAAGTGGAAACTTAATGTCTCAAATTAAGATTTATTTTCTTACTGATATATGCACCAAAGACTCTCAATGTTACAGGACACATGCAAGAGGACTGATGATAGAAAAGCTCCTAGGCAGTGGGTAAATATTACATGAAGTTAGTAGGATAACACTGGGGTAAAATATAAGTATCACAACAGACTGAACAATGTTGGGAGATAATGACCTTTGTCAAGTAAATTCCTAAAATCGTGATTTACTATACATTTTCTGATAGCACCTGTGGTGGGGCAGTGCATGCTTCCCACTCAGTAGAACTTTCTCAACATCAAAACACAAATAGGTTCAACAACTAATCTTTACTAACAGAAACAGACAAAAATAAAAGGATCATAGCTTTTGCTGGACAAACAGATGTCACCAAGACCACCAAGAGACACAGTACCAAGTTCCTATTCCTATCACTTCAACTGAAAAATCTGAATCCATCCTTCACATAAAGTTGCACTTGATTTACAATAGAACTTCAAACGTTTTCTACAAATATCTCATCTGCTAAAAACCCACAACAGGAAGTGCTTCTTTGGATCTACCTGTCCAACATTTTCCTTTCCCTAAACCAATTTGAAACACATTCTTTTCACTGAAATGAATAAAAAGAAACATCTCTGTCAAGCCAAGCAAACTCTGCTACTTCATTGCATTTTTCCCCACATACGTTTTTGGTTGTTGTCCTACCAGTGAACCAGTTACCAAAAACTCTAACTTACTGTAGGCTAACAGTGAACTGCTGCTAGGAAATACTAAGTATAGTCAGAAAGTCTTGCAGTACAACTTTGCATTTTCAGACTGTGGCTCATGTTTGCCAGAAAGTTCTCCTTCACTATTATATCAGAAGTAGCCAGTACACTGCAGAGCCTTTTCTCGTTGGAGAATAATGCAGTTCACAGAACCTACACTACTGCAACTCATTTACTCAAAAAGATGGGACTGTGAATGTAAAACCACCTGCCTGTATTATGGGTGTGTACCTCTACCTGCCATACAGTGCAAACACATTTCAAAGAATGAAAACCATGGGAAAGGGAACCATTTATGCCTTGATATAAGAGGGTTACAGTTACAAGGAACACAATTTCTGACTGCATACAATAGCTGACTTAGCAGAATGAGTCCAGGTACACATTGCTGTACGTGCATTTTAGATGGAATTAAACTTCCAGTGGCCCATGAAATCAAACTGATTAACACTGGTCGCAAATCTATTCCCTAAATCTGCCAAACCACACATCTCTTTATTAGCAGAAAACAGACACTTTTTTTGTTACTAGGTCAATATAATAGAGTTTAGGTCAAATTCAGGACAAATTTCTTCAAAGGAACAAGTCCTTTTCAGTGTCTTCATTTTCGGAATGCAAATAACTCAGGAAGAACTGACCACCCATCTTCTGAAAAACAGGGCTCTTCAATATGCCCCTTGTTGACTGCTCAGAACATATTTCTGAGCAGTCAATAATTTTATTTGACTATCTTGATCTATATACACCTAAGCAATGAACTACAGTGAAAAGGAAGTCAAAGGGGATTATGATGCCTTAGTGCCCAGGCAATGGTACCCTGCAGGCTACAGCTGTGTGACTATTACTGACACACTAGCACCAAAACAATGTTCCAAGACAATCTACGGGTGATTGATTTTCTCTTATTTACTTGCAGACCCTTAGTTTTTAGAGCAAATGGGCTATACTCTGCAGTGTTCACAACTTGAAAACTATGAATTAAGAAAGGGGTAAGGATGGAATGTTTCTTAAAGTCTACAGAAACACAGGAATTGTTACAACAGCACACGACTTTTAGGGGCTAGAGAAAACAATGGGGGAAAGTTGATCTCTATGTTATTTACACCTCCCCACCCATCAAGAAAAGAAGCAGAACCCACTTAGAAAACAACACAGACTGAAACAAAGTGTGGTTAGGAACAGGAGCAGCTTTAATGGAGAAGAGGAGGAGAGGCAGGAGAGTGGAAGGAGGTGGGAAGAGTCTTACAGAAGGGGTTCCTGGGAGAAGATAAATGCAGAAGTCCCAAGGGAAAGCAAAAGGAAGAAAAAGAGAGAGGAAAACAAAGTGCAGTCAGGGTAAGAGCAGAGGAAAAAAAAAAAGAAGCAGGGATGATATATCTCAACACCATTCAAAGAACTGGTTTCCCATTGCATGACATTTGAGACTGAGGTCAGACACTTCCAAGCAGGCAAAAGTCATGCATTCCTGTCTGTACCCAAATTTTTCTGACAGCCCTAACCCCAGTATAAAAGTATAGCAGAAGAAGCCCTAGATGACAAAAGGAGGTGGAGTGACTTTCAAAAATAGTCTGTAGGTACAATGAAACTGAGCATAAAACTGTTAAACCACTAAGAATGCATGGTAAGTAATATGCATGTTATATATGAAGCAATAAAATAAACTGCATAACATCCTGTGTGTCACCTTTTTATTGTTTTCTTGCTCAGAATCTTCAACAGCCTAAGGGAAAAAAAATATATACACATTATCCAAAGAAAAAGCAACAGGAAACACTCACAGTATGGAAAAAAATAAAAACGCTCAAAAAGTTAATGCATTTAGCAAAAAGAATAGCTTTTTCCACCTTTCTGTGGGGCTCATGTGTCCCATACACTTGCAAGAAGTTGTACTTTCTTTCAAATTTGGGTACACAAGATACAAAATTCAACAGCTGGCTAGCAATAGGAATAGCATGAAGGATGCCAGTCAGTTTAGCCCAAACCCATGCTATCACTAGATGCTGGGGACAGGAAGTTTCAGAGAAGAATGAAAGAATAACATACCCAGACCACACAAAAGATCGTTTGATCTGGATATGCAAACTACCAGGCCCTGAAAACTTCAAGGTTAAGACTGCTGTAAACTGTGCTTGAAATGTTCACATCTGGAAAAGGCCTGTCTCAAGATGTTATTTGCAAAGGACAGTCTGCTGCTTGTCTTCAGTAACAAGCTACCACTACTGAGAAACTTAGATAGATGTTGTCTTGGCACTGAACACACATTCCTAAGGAATAAAGATCAAGTCACTGATCAGCAAAGAAGCAGAGAAGTTACCCAAGGACATGTGCTGAGGATGACTAATCTTGACAACAAAAAAAATTCCAAAAGATTTAACACACCAAAACCTAAACAAAGCCCAAACCACTCAGGTAGTTAAGGACCAGCTGACTTAGTAAGTGAAACAGTCCTAAAGCAAAGAAGTTAAATGACACTTGAGTGGGAGGACTCATAAAAGTGCTGAAGAAGCAAAGATGTTGACTTGAAGAGATACCAAGAAGGCAGGACTGATGTCTCTGATACTCCTAGAGACATACTGCCAAAGGCAAACTGTGCCATGAAAGATTTTCCATACTTATGCTTCTATCTGGAGCAAGATTCAAAGGTAGCCAGGCAGGAGAGAAGAAGTGTCCAGAATACTTGAGTGACAAAGGAGCATGATCTGATAAGGTACCTTAGCACTCACATGTGGCTTTTTTCTGTAGCAAGTAGCAGTAACACCTTCAAGTGCCAGAGCAGGCTTAGTTTTGAATTCTAATTTTCTATATCTAACTACCATTGATTAATATTCAAATTACTGAGCACAAACTGATAAATTGTATCAAATCAGGCATGAGAGGAATAAAGAGAACTCTTCCCCTGTCTGACAGCAGTCTATCTGATATAGCCCCACTGCCATACCACCGCACTGGGGAATTATTGCCCTATTTTGCCTTCACTGCTGCAAGTGGAAGGGAGAATCTATTCCAAGGGTTTACGATAAAAATGAGGCAGGAAAACCCTGCAATGAAGACACAGAATGCAGCCATGCAAAAATACTGCTGAGCAAGGAATCTGATGTTCCACCTCTCATTAGGGCTCTGTACCTGAGATGCAAAGCAAAATATCAGAGACAGAAGCAGGAAACTACTTACTGCCTTTAATTTAATCAAATACCCCACTTGTATACTGCATACTGATTCTGTTTTCTCAATGAGGAACCTGAAAAAAGTACTTTCAGCTACAAAGCTTTGTGTTCTCATGAACCTAAAGCTTAGGGGCATCTGGTGAAGATCTCAGGTTTGAATCTTCTGACAGCAAGTGCTGTGATGCTTCCACAAAATGAAGTGCCTTCTACAACCACCTCCATGGAAAGTTTTCATAAAAACATATAAGAAGCAATCCCACCTTTTTGACACTGATGGCAACAGCTTCTTTTTGACTGTAATCATCTACAAGATCACTTCCAAACTTGTACTCGGGATGAGCTTCTTCTTCCTGGTCAGCTGCACAGAAAAGAAAAAGGATCAGTGCAAACCCCACAGCAACTACTGGTTTTGTGCAAGACATGCAACAAATGACAGATGAATACACAGTCTTGGTTTTGTCACTTTTAAGAATAGGAATAAAATCCAGGGTATTAGATTCCCAAGTGTTAGTATCAAGCTGCAGCTAAGGCCTGAGATTCTTATAGCTTTGTCATGGTTAGTAAGAGAAATTTTATACACTGTACTTTTGAAGTAATCAGTAATTTGCTTAACAAAAGTGTAAAAAAGCAGCCAATAGCCTTGGGAAAATAACAAGATATTACGATGGAGTTCTTGAAATAAAAATATAAGAAGATGCTAGTGCCCAGCCTTCTCATGTGCATTGTTAGTCTCCTTGTGTGTCCCTACTATAAGGAGTAATGTTCATTTGCTTTTAAGCTGATTTTCCATTAGATCCTAGAGTACTCAAAGAAGCTAAACAAAGTAAAGTAAAACAAAAAATATAATCTAGGAGAGGACCAAGGCATAGGCTAAAGCTGGGACATTCACTATGACATGGGACACAGGCCATTGGTTCAGACACTTGCAGGCAGTGCATGATTTAGCTGTTCTGAATGTGGACATTTAAAACAGACAAGGTAGATCACACCCTAAATATGTCTATTTTTCTCTGCTGGCCATAAATACATTCCACATCACTGGCTCAGAACTAGATGTTTACACTCAAAATATCTGACATTTGGCAAGAAAAATCCTATCCCTCATTTCATCCTTATAAAGTATAATGCAATAATCCAATCTGATGTTGACACAAGTATTAAACACAGTGACAAAACCTGTTTTCAAAGCAAAGATCACAGCTTCCCAGTCTCTCTTTCTCTCTCTTTCTCTCTCTCTCACACACACACACACACACAGAGTGAAAATCTGCCTTAGATGGTGCTCCAATATGACTTCTGAACAGTAAGTGGAAGTTAAAATTACCACTAGTACCAACTGAACTCATGTTCCTACCCCAGCCTGCTACGAGCCAGGAGTAGCTGTGATATGTGCCTGAGATGAGATAAGGCTGGAGGTCTGTAGAAATGGTCCTGCACTGAACCCAGACTTACAGCTGCTGCCACAGATCACATGCATGTGGGTAACATCCATACTAACTGCTCATAGCAGCCTCCTGATTTACCCCAGACACTGTTTGGGAACCCTCCTGATTTACCCCAGACACTGTTTGGGGTAGCAAATCCTGTTTGCTCTAGCAAATCCTCACCGCTTTCTATTTCTTCTTCATTATCATCCTCTAGGATATTTACAGGAGCAGCAGTTTCCCCAGCCTCCATCATTTTTTTCAGAGCATCGAGCTGTTCTGTTAATATGAAAAACAGAATTCAATTAGTCATGACATGAACAGTCTGTAGCACAAAGAAATACAAGAGAACAATAATAAATGATTCTCTGATCCCAAGAGCTACTTTTATTTAATGGATTCTCTAAGTTTTCAGTTAGCAATAAAATTTTACTAAGTAGAGAGCATCAATAAGCATACATTGTTGTTAGATCTGAAAAGTGCTCAGTAAGGGCTGTATCCAAAGCTCACTGAAGTTAAGAAAAATATCTCCATAGACCTCAGAGGTGTCTGAAGCAAGCACATTACTTCTCCAAAGAATAAATAGACAGCTGTCTCCTCAGTGCTTGATCCATACAAACGGAGGCCAAGCGCTTGGATTTTCATTGTGTTCCCATGTGCATTTCAGTCAGACAGGATGAACACAAACATGTATGACTGAAGTCAGTGCAAGGTCTGCACACTTATCTTTGAATGGAGAAGGACCAGGGTTTATCATTACAGCCATACTGGAAAGTAATACAGCAACATTATTATTGCTGAAAGAAGATAAATACCAGAACTGGCAACAACAGCAAGAGCACCAATTTGAAACTCCATTTCATTTCATGCTTATCCTGGAAAAACACAGCAATGCAAACATACCAGCATAGACAGAATTTACAAGAGATTCTATCTGCGTCGTATTTTAGCTCAACCAGCAGTCTGATAAAAGTCTCAGGATTACATTTCTAGGCCTATCTATGCCTAGGCTGCATGCTGATATCAAGGCCTAGACTCTGGCACTCATATGAAACACAAGGGCAAACAAGATGTCATTTACACAAAATTCATATTCTTCCAACGCTAAAGTACAAGCAAGTTGGAAACTTCAGTAACTTCTAATTGTAGTGATCTGGACTTTTGTTTACTTAATACTTGGCAAGCTTTACTTACTTTTTTCTACTTCAGGTTTCAGCCTTTTATTCTTTATGAGAATCTTTCTTTTGAGGTCATTAGGAGATGGTAAGGCTTTACCTGGATCAAGCTGTAAAACATTTTAAAGAAAAGGATATTAACAGCTATTAGGCCTCTGTGTATCCTATTCGGGAGTTTGACTTTAGGATAGCAATAGTAAGGGGCAGTGAACAAGCAGTGCCACCTCAGGCACAACCCCTGCAGTGTGACTGCATTTATATAGTCTCCTCTGCTTCTTTCCTATCCCATGGGAAAGCTATGCTCAGGTAAATGCTGCTGGCTGAAACCAGTACACTGGTCTCCAGCCTATGCCATCTTCAGATGCACTGGTCAAAACGTTTTCCCCTCTCCTGCCTGGCAGGGGACATGGATGTGACCTGCAACTCCTCATCAGAGGACTTTCAACTTTCCCTTCCTCCCTGTGGTTCACACATAGCCCAAGTCACAGTTTAGCCTGCTATCATTCGATCTCTAAATACGTCACCTTTTATGGTCCCTTCAAGCTGCAATAACGCCAGTGAGGCAGCTCGCACATACTTACGGAGTGGAAATGGGCTGGCACTGGTGGATGGAAAACTACCCAGTCCTTACCTAGGTTATGAGGACTGGTTTTGCCAGTAGGGCTACAGGGTCACATCCTCAATATTTGTGAAAGGCAAAGGGCAAGTTTCACAATACACAAGGAAGTCCTACTAAAAAGTTTGCTCCAATTCAGGAAAGGAGAAAAAATACTGAGCAAAGAGAAAAAGTGTAAAATCCTGATTTAAGCCCCATCACATGATTAAGGCTAAGAAACAAAGATTTGGGTATGGTAATTAGCACCCTCTCCACATTAGGCTCCCTAAGAATATTATGCAAGGAGTTACTAGTATAATGGACTGGGGTATTCAGTGAACTATAAGTGATGCAGAAGTAGAACGCATTAATGGGACTGCTAAAAGTTCTTAAAAAATATACAGATCTTCTTTTCCTTAAATCCAAATATGAGTAACAGAAGCAGCATTCTAGATGAAGAAACAAAAGAACAAAGGACCACAACTTGAAACCAAATAAAAGCAGCAGAGGGGGCAAATAACAACCCAGCAAAAATGCCCAAATCAACCCAACCCCAGGAGAATGGGTGCAAATATCCTTGCGGGAGGGCAGTGATTGTTCACACCCACCAGGCTACCTCAGGCATGGGAGTTTCAGCATGTTGGATGAAGAGGAAACTGCTCCCAAGAGCACTGGGGCTGTAATTCCACTAGATGTCAGTGCCGCAGAGCTCATCTATCCCCAGGCTTCCAGGATGCCAGCCTGCATCCCCAAGCAAGAGCATAGTTGAAAGCCCATTTGGACAAATATTTGCTTTTACTTAAAACCAAATCTGCTTCAGCCAGTGCCATGTCTCAAGTCTTAAGTCTGCCCTCCTCAGTTGACTAGTCAAGGTTACCAGAAACCAAGCACTCGTAAAATACACATTCAAAGCTTCTCCTGACGTCCCTGCAACATTTGCTTTGTGAGCAGCTGGGGACTGAATTCACCCCTGAGGAGGAAAGGGCACAAAACACAGAAGGCTCAGTAATGCTACAGAGCACAGGCAGCTGAGGCTAAGTGCTGGGCCCTGAGGTAGCAGCACAGCAGCCTTTGGCCAGCTCTATTTAAGGCTTCCATGAAAGCTGCTGGAAGCTGTCATTCGTGAGGAATGTGGCAATGTGCTACACACATTACAGGGGAATACTACAGATTTAGCTTTCTGGGATGAACTTTTTAGGGCAACAACCTGATATTCACCAAGCCTTGTGCATTGCTGCCCCTGCAACATGCAAGGAAAGCCAAGCAAAGCACAGCTCAAGCAATGCTAATGCCAGGAGCCCCCTCTGTCAGAGTCACATGGACAGGAGCTGAAAGGTAAGGCAGAGTCTTCTTTGCTGTGGTCTCCCCAGCACTAAACAGCACCTGGAGGTATTGAGTGGCTGCTGGCACACAGTGAGCTCGTTGTAAGGGGAGTAAGGAAGGTCTGGAGGAGTAGTTGCAAGCACTGAGTAACAAGCTATTAAAGTCTCAAATATTGTATTTGTGAGAGAGTGACTGGTATTACCTCCTGCCATGCAGGAGAGTGAAGTGCATGCAGATTACAGTGCACTTTATAGTCCAAAAGAGACTTCAGGGAACTCTTTGTACCTAGTTTAATTCTTAATGCAGTAGTGAGGGCCACCTACACTGCAGGACCTGATCTGGAGCATGAAACATGCCATGTGCAGCTGAAAGAAGAGGTTTCTTCAGCTGAGACCATGCAATTTATAATTCATTGTTTTTCAACAGTGACTGGCAATTTTAGAGTTATGTATGACCTGCAGATACAATGTATGTGGTGTATTTTATGTAAGTGCTGATATTACGTCACACATCAAGGGGACGGATTTCCCCAGGCTGCTCCCCAGAGCCCTGTACAGAAGAGATTAAACAAATCAGATAAAGACAATTTTGTACCAAAAAGCACAGATGCCTAAAATAACTAGTCATTTTTGAAAGCACAGGCCTGGCAGTGAATGGCACTATAGGTGATATCATCTCAGTTTATCATCTCTTTTCAATATGGCTAATATAAAAAAACAGACTGGGCGAATATAACATACTGGATGTGTTTCTAGCGGCTGCTTCAATAGGAGATCTCCAAACAGATCTTCACAGTATTTTGACATCTTGTACTGTTGGTATTTGCTGGAAAAGATGATGTTGGTTAATTTTTAAATATAAAAAAGAAATCACTATTACTCAGCTCAACAGAGTAACACTAAGTAATGTAGACATCCCAAATTATATACTGCCCACTTTGTCTCAACTGAGAAATATTACTTTACTGTAATTATACTGTCAATAAAAGTCTATTGTCTGACATAGATGAATTTAACAAGACCAAAAAAGTAGAATAATTGAATCTCACTCAGCTAATAGAACATCCAAATATACTTCACATCTTTACCACAGATAAAAATATTGCCATCATTAAGCTAAAGATTGATCAGTTTATTACAGTCTCTTCCAAGTGATATTCAGTACACTTGCATATCCCTACATAGTTTTCAAGATCATTTAAATTATAGTATTTTAAATCTCTCTCAGACATTGCACAATTTCAAAATTAGAAGTGGGCACTACATACCTGCAATGATTTTCAAATGAAAGAATGACAGGGTACTCTGATGTAACAAACGCTGTTTCCTTAATGGCCTGAATAACATCCTATAAAATGAAATAGTAGGATTCAGATTAGAAACATTAAAAACCTATTGAAAGAGATTTTTTTTGTTATCCACCCCAGCCTAAGAAACACACAGCTCTGTCTCAGATATGCCAAGTAAAGCAAGAACAAGAACAAACGGTGTGCTCATTCTTATCTGTTCCCCTGCAACAACCTGGACTCAGCACTCAAGACGTGCTTCCCTGCACCTGCAGCAGCGATGGCATCTTCACCCACAACCCATCAATGCCATCCCTGGATCTGCTGCTATCTTCTATTGCCAGGGAGAATTTCAACTCTTAGAATAACTCCTGCATCTTCGGGCTTTTTCCAATGCTAAGGAACTTCTCAGACAATGAAGAAGATAGTAATTCTGTGGTGCAAAGAGCCATAGAATGTGAAAAGATGGGGCAAAAAAAGGCAAGCCTGCTTCTTGCAGTTTCTGCGGAAAGACAGACAGAGGACAGGGGTGTATGATGCAAGTCAGAATCTGGGGGATGCAAGTCAGACCTGGGGACATGAAACTGCCCATGCAATGTGTCAGTCTGTCACATGGGATCAGTATCTCAGTTCTGTGGAGGGGAGGGTGCCCTGCATGGATTCAAGTCCATGGGTTCTTCTGGGGCTTACTGCCAGGTAGAGAGGTCAGGCACTTACCTTGAAAAGAATATCTGTACACATCGCTTTTCCATGGGTTATTATTGGTTCTTGGTCTTCACCTTTGCCATCCCAACAGTCCAATTCAACACACCTAGAGATCCAAGAAAAACTATGTCAACTGCCTTAGTGTTTCAGTACAGGTGAGCTACTCAGGACACAATGATGGGCAGAGTAGTAAGTTACAAAGCAGTTTTGGGCGTTACTCAATTCTTTCTAAGCTGTACATGTGTAATTTCAGACTGCTTCTATAACTTCAGATATACTACCTTAAATATAGTATGTATGGGTCAATATACTTACGTCTGAACAACAATACCTTTAGCACTGTAACACTCTTCTAATTCACTCCCTAGTATGTCAAGAAATGTAGGACATGATAAACTGATTCTCATTTACATATAAGCTTAATTATAAAGCAGAAAACCCTCAGAAATTCTTCAGTTGTCATGTTGAGATAAAACTTCTGTTACCTTTCTCACAAACTCTCCTTATTTCAATTTCTACATTCTACTGCCTTTCCAAGGTTTTTCATGAGAAAAATAAGAGTCTTAAACAAACATGTGTTTCCATTTACCACACTAATATATTTATACATTCAGTTATAAAATATATCACCATCAAAGTATATTATGTAGACTAAAAGTATGAGATTCACAAATACTAAAGGCAGTTATCTCCTGCTTCCAACCTGCATCCAGCCAAAAGTACTTGTCTGTACATCTCCACTGAAGACTTGCCACCAAACTGCCTGCCTGTTAAATACGTATTGTGAGAGGAACTGATGAAATAATGAGCCAAAGGATGGTCCATTTCTTGATATAATTCCAAACGGTCTAAGAAAACTGGGGCATTTTCATCTGACATCAAGTATCTGCAAAACCCATCACTTGATATGACACCTAGAAAGGAAGAAGAAGGCATGGTAAATTACTACTAGAAATTTAGTCAACAGGAATCAAACTGTCTCACAGAGCTGTATTTTCACAGGCTCTTGCAAGCAAACAGAAGCTCTCCTGTTCCACTGCTCCAAGCTGACTAGCAGCTGTGTCCCTGGTGCAAAATGTGCCACTGTGTTCCCAGATAAAACAAGGAAAACACCAAGTGCCTACCTAGCTCAATACCTGATCATAAAGTCATAGAATCAACTGGGTTGGAAGAGACCTCAAAGATCATCGAGTCCAACCCTACCGTGGTTACTAGACCATGGCACTGAGTGCCACATCCAGTCTCATCTTGAAAACCTCCAGGGATGGTGAATCCACCACCTCCCTGGGCAGCCCATTCCAATGCCTGACTACTCTCTCTGTAAAAAATCTGTTCCTAATATCCAACCTAAACCTCCCCTGGCAGAGCTTGAGTCTGTGCCCTCTTGTCCTACTGCTGGTTGCCTGTGAAAAGAGACCAACCCCCACCTGACTCCAACCTCCTGTCAGGGAGTTGTAAAGGGTGATAAGGTCTCCCCTGAGCCTCCTCTTCTCCAGGCTGAACACCCCCAGCTCCCTCAGCCTCTCCTCATGGCACCTGTGCTCTAGTCCCTTCACCAGCCTCGTTGCTCTTCTCTGGACCTGCTCCAGCACCTCAATATCCTTCCTGAACTGAGGGGCCCAGAACTGTACACAGTATTCAAGAGGATGTGAAGGAAGCAAGTAGTGAAATCTCAGAGTAATCCCAACAATTTTGGTCTCTGGGACTTTGTAAGGCAGAAATCAAGAGCTTGCATGTGGCAGTTTTCTGTGGCACTTTTCTCCCCTCTTTCACATTGAATCCTGCCCTCACTGTGCTATATCACTGCTAATCAGTTTGCAGTGCGTGCAGAGACTGTTCTGCACTGACAAAAACATGTGGACATGTACCTAAAAATGTCTGCACAGGTTCATTTGCAAAACACTAGGAAAACCTAAGATACCTTCCAATTTACTGTTTGAAATATAGTAAATTCCTTCATAAATGAAAATAGGAATCTGTTATTAACACGGGACATACAGCAATTCAGAAGACAGAATTCATAACACCTCTCTCTTATTTCTCTGCTGTTCTATGCTTCAACAAAGTCTAAAAAAGTAAAAATAAAGGGATAATTTCTTAGAAAAACAAAGTAAGAATCATCAGTATGGCAATATCAGTTTTAAAGTGGCCAAGAGTCTGAAAAACTATCTGGGATAGGAAAGAAGGGATTACTCGCAGTGTTGTGGCAGAGAATGGTTATCTGGCATTAATCTGGAGATTGCTTTCCCTGAAGTCATGTTTGAACATTCAGCTATTGTTAAGGCACAGGTTGCAGCAGTCCTATTTTTATTTTCTTTAAGACTACTTTTCTCTTATAGAGAGAAACAGAGTGAACCCAGTTTTCATTCTACTCCTAACTGTATGAAAAAACCTCTACTGGAGCTCAAATTTTCTGTGCTTGGCATCAGACAGACGTGAACTGTTCCAGAATGTCTTAATCAAATTCTCTCAGCTGATTCCGAGTATGGAAGAAGGGGGGAAGAAAAGGGGCAAAAGGGAATTTTCAACTTGAAGAATGATTTTATTTTGTTATCACCAAGACCTTCAATGCAGCAGCACAGCACATCTCAGATGATACACACATCTAGTGCATCATCTAGTGGAAAAATGTCACAGCTAGACAGGTGTCCTAGAAAACTATTAATTGTTTTCCAGTTTTAGATTAATTTCCACTTTAATAAAATATGTTTTTACACCTTCCATCCTAAACAGGTAGCAGCTATGTGAGTACACGTTCCTCACTTTGGAAAACATGTAAAATACACTGGCATTAATAAGAATCACAGATGAGTGTCTTTTAAAAATAATAAATAAAAAAGGATAGAGTTGACTAAAATCAAGTAATTAATGTTTGCAGAAGTCTAATTCATGCAGAGATATAAGCTTGTGAGTGGAAGATCCCTGTAACATTTATAAATGACTCCTAAACAAGAGAAGTACTTCCTTCAGTCCCAAGTGATCCCTGCAAAGTCCATGTTTTCTAAAAGAGGAACTAAAGGAGGAATCTATAAGGAACTAAAAGAGGAATCTATTAATCAATCCAGCACACAACTCTAGCAGTTTGATCAAAAGGACTAAAGTACTACAAGGAGTGCTGAAAGCTATACATCCAACTGCAGCTGGAAATTCATCCCAGCCACTGGCTCAAATGAAGTGAAAGGGGCAGGTGCTGCTGCTGCTGTCAAGGCCTGTGATGGTAAAGCAACAAAGGCACACAAGGAAACCAAGAGGGCTGCAGTGCTAGGCCAGAGCTGCCTCAGGCTTTACTAATAGATATTGCCTTCTGTTGTCTATTTGCACATCCTTCATCAGCTGTGGCAGCATTAGTGGTTGTGTAAAAGTTTCCCCAGCACTAGCTTGATACATTAGCTAAATGTCTGGTGAAAGAAGATTCCTGGTAGGATGCCTATGGGCTGTGCAAAGCTGCAGTCTCCTCTCTGCTTGCTACAATGACAGCAACTTCCAGCAGAAAGGCAGGGAGGACAGATGGGGAAAGCAGCATTTTTAATTTCATAACGGGCAAGAGCTGAGAACTAAGTTCAACCACTGGCACCCTCAACCCTCACAGCACCTTAGGACATGGGCAGTCCAAGAATGGCTTGCACACACTTCCTGCAATCTTCTTCCTTGGAAAGAACATTTTTCAACACACCCATATAAAAGCCCTGTTCTAAACTGGGCTGCTGGCCTCAAGCACTTCACAGATTCTATTATGAGAAGGTGGATGCACATCCAGTGGTGCACATGGTAGTTTTCCTTTTATTATTTTTCATTTTTACTCATCTGCACAGCTTTGCAGTGTCTCTGAGACCTTGGCCACAGCCACGTGCATGCTGCCTTGTTGCTAGAAGGAGACTCCAACTTGTTCTGTATTTACTCAATCCTAGTCTCTCCCATTTTGTATCAAGATGGTTGCCTTTGTAGCCACACTGCCACCTGGATCAGGAAAATAATCCTTCAAAAAATCACTGATTTTGAGGGGGAGATACTTCCTCAGCAGACAGTTTCCTGATCTAGTTCACTACGTGCCACACAAGTGCTTGTCCCCACACCACAAGGACTGTGAGCTCCCTTATAAAACTATGGATGCTTCGGAACAAAGTCTCCACATGTCTAAACACAGTGAATACCGAATTACCTCCCCCCATTTACCTTTACTCTTCAAGTCTTCATCTGGCTCATATGTCTCAATTATCTGCATTGCTCTTTTTGTGTCATAAAAGGGAAATAAAATTTCATTGAGCCGAGGATCTCGTTGATGCTAAGGTTAGAAAACAAGGGAATTCAGCAAAACAATATAGTGTACAGCTATCATCCAAGAGCATTTCATTACTGCAGATGAGAAAGAAAGAAGTGGGCATTTAAAAATAAAAAAAAGCGGCCCTAAAACTTACAGACTTCAATAGTAATGTCAGCTTTAGATAGAAAATTATCTTTCATAAGCAACCTAGGCAGTTTGAGCACAAAAATATTTCAAAAACACAATCGGGTGTAATCATAGAACTGGTGTTACTCTTGCTTGTTCATGAAAATAATGACTGCACATGGTATATGTGCAAATGAAATGTTGAAAATAAATAACTACATCTCTCTTCTCTGCAATTCGCTCTCTAATCTCTTTTGTAGGGCACGTAAACTGACAGACTTGACTGCTGACACTGTAATCACCTCTGCAAAAATACATGTCTTCAGCAATATCTACAGCTAAAGCAAAAAGTAAAAGGAAAATAAAGCTATGCTATAAATACAGAATTTGAAATCCAAGTTTAGAAATATGCACGTGCTGATGACTATTTGCGAATTGTGGAAACATCATGTTTTTAACTATTCAAAAACCAGCATAGGCTCTTAGAAGAAAGATGTGCAAGAGCTTCAGAGCATCATCTCTTCAATTCACAAGAATTTACAACATTTGAATACAATTTAGCAGGGATTTCTAACACTAATAAAATTCAGTGGTTTTATGTTTTCACTTAATAGTGTGCTATGTAACCTTTTTTTTTCCATGCTGGGTTAGAGCTGCACACTGTGTGCCTGATTCTCCATTAAAAGAAAATTAAAACCAGAATTGAACAAGTAGTGGCATGTAAGCAGATGCAATAAAACAAATAAATAATATGACTGAAAAAACCCTTTTAACCCCAGTAGGTGCACAGTTTTCAAGCTTTAGTTTAAGCAGAATTCAGAAATGTAACAGGCCACCCCCAGGCTGGCAATCAATAATCTGGAGTGGACAGGATGGTGTTGATATGGCTCACACAGCACTATCAGCATTTGCTGTAATTCCTCATGTGCAAACTTTTGTACATTTTTTGATGAGAAAAGCAATATCCAATCATAAATAAGCACTTAATCTTTTTTTCTTACAATCAATACATAGGTGCATGTGCTTAATTAATTCCAAGAAATTACAACCAATGCCAACTTAATCATGCAATTAAGGAGGGATCTTTCAAGTAATGCTACTGGCAGTCTGCAGCATCTAAAATACAGCAGGTTTGTTCAGTACAGATTGGCTGTTGGGATAACTAAGTAAAACTCGGATGAAATGTGATATGAGAGCAGATGGATGCAGGACATAACTTGCTAAGCAGCACACAACAACAACACAACACTGGCATGCAACAGTTCAGTCTACTGTGACAAATGACAAGGCTTTATACCATTAGTTACAATACACCACTTCAAAAAAATTTTAAGAATTAGTAGAGAAGGTTCTTAACGCAAGAAAAGTCCTTTCCCCCACTCTCTTTCTTCTAGAGTTAGTCACAAGCAAACAGAATAAAACAAATGGGATAAACCAAAAAGTCTCATCTTGAGAAGGAGTCCCAGAGTTATCAGAAGAAGTTAAAGAGCAAAATATTATTCTAGTAGCAATGATCATTGCTCATTATCAATTTTCCATTTGAACAATAGTGTATCTTTATGTCCACTTAGTTAAAAAAGATAAATTAAAACTGACAACTGATAGAGATTCACTTTAAGAAAAAGGAAGGATGCTTTCTAGTATCTTTTGGAGAAATGTTCTGCACCACTGAGCTTGGTGGCACAGGAAAGCTGTAACACAAAAGTTGACCAAAATAAAAAGCACAAAGTTTCATCTAGAAAGACATCATGCTCCAGGACTAACTGTGTATGTCCAAAAAAAGTTGTATTTGATTGTTCTAGTTACCGTACTAGAACAAACAGAAGACCTAGACAAAATACTCAATGCCTGACAATAATTACATTTCTAAAAACTTCCCAGAAGCTTTAAAACAGAATTAAATCAGCTGTCAGACAGCAGCATTTAAAAGTCAAATAGAGACAGGAGCCTGGAAAAACTCCATGAAAGCTACTCACTCTCCTCTCATACCCAGTAACATATTCTCATGCTCTCTTAAAATCCATAACACTTCTGCAGCATGCCTTGGAGGTTACTTCAAAATAATGTAAGTTAAAGAGTCTCATGAAAAATTGCTCTCCCAAGTCACTGCCCTCTCCTTTGTAATGATAATAATCTTTTTATATTTTCCAGCACTAAACACCACTGCTAATTGCGCTATTGGCCAGCTGTCAAGGAGACAGAAATGACCACTTCAGGAGGGAGATTCTGGGTCATTTTGTGCCTTTCAAATTATGACTGAAACTTTAAATTCTATTTAGAGACCAAAAGACCTCCAACACAGATCAAAGGCATTGGTTTCAGTCATCAGAATGAATGCCCTACTCTGTTAAAAAAACACTGGACTAATTTTTTGCAGCTCTGGTCACCAACTGAAGGCCCAAGATTTCCAATGCCAAAATGTATAGTGTTGATAACAACGTTGCCAACAAGACTCATCTTTCTTCAATACTACCCATAAAATATGGCTTCTATTGCTGCAAAAAAACCTGCTAAAACAACACAAAACTGAGAGCACCACAACTCAATTTTATTTTTTTTATCAGGTACTGGAGATAGCCAGGGGGTTCTTAGAGTTGTTGGCAGCTCTTGGTCACAAGTTTGGGTTTCAAGGAACTACACTTCACACTAAAACAATTCCAGAGATCAATTTTAAAACAGTGATAAAATGGTATTTTACTGAAAAATGAACATTAACACTAAAAAAAATTCAGATGCTAACATGATTTAAGGTGAGGACAGGGCTGTGTTCTTCAAGCAGTGAAGTGTATCTATCACTACAGGTGAACTGGGGGGCTGAGTTACTTTAAGGGGATAATTTATAATTTAAATTACAACACTATTCTTTCTCTTTTCTATACAGAAGCAAAAATTACACTCCTTAGCTTTGACCCCAGTCCTGCAAACATTTAGCCACTGAACTTTCCAAGCAGCTGTGACAAAAGAAGGTCTCACAGATGTAAGATAAAGCATGTACTTCAAGTTGCTAATAAACATGAACTAAAGCCCCAAGTACGGTACCATTAGTGCTGAAGGTGCTAATCTTCTCACTGTCTTTTCTTTTTGAGTACTCTTTCTACAGGCTTAGTGAAGAGCAAGGCACACATTCCCTGCTGAAAAATAAAATTCTATTCTAAATTTGATATATGGGGAACTTACTGCTTGAATCCTCACATAGCAGTATCCAACATATAAATATATATATGAAAATATATAAAACATTTATTTATAACTACTAAAACAACTTTAGATGGAGACTTTTTTTGGTAATGCACTCAAAAACATCATGCAGAGAGGTAAGCAGCTTTCCGTGTTCTATATGACAAGAATCTACTGGTACAAACCCAAGTAGAATATGCCCATTTTCTATGCATGTGCTCTTGTCAAATCCACACGGTGCACTTATCAGTGCAATTCCAAATGAGTCAGCCTTCTATAACTTACTGTGCTTTAGGAATAGAGGGGAAAAAACAATCCCACACTGTTTATTGAACTACTTCACACACTCATAATGCTTTTCAGAAACACTAAATACTTCTGCCAACATCTGTATTCTGGAAATACAGCAATAACAATATTCCCTCTTATTCTGCACAGACAGTATTTTAAAAATCATATACAAACTCTTAAAATAACCTCTTAGATCTGCAACAGACTGAAATACTACTGTTGAGAAGAATCAAACCACTGTTTATAAAAGCCTACTTCAGTTTTTCTATTATTCAGAAGGATTAGCAGCTATATTTAGCTGAGGCCTACAGGTAAAAGACTTGCTTGTAATAAAACAATGGGTGTATTTTACTTGAAACTGCATCGAATGTAACAGTATAAGAAGTATAAAACATACACAACACAAAACATAACACAACAGCAAGTAATCAACAGATGCAATCTGCAAAGCCAACATGTAGAAAGCACAACAACATACAAGGTTGGAGCTGATTTTTGCACCTGGATGTTACCATAATGGAAAGATCAGCAGATCAAAAGCATAGCAAATAACAGCATGATTCATGCAATGGATAGATTGGAAGAAGCAAGCCACTGCAGACAGACTTGTATGGTAGTTAATGTATGAAAAAGCTTACTTCATTTAGAAAGCTCACTAATTGGTCTACCGTTAAATAATCAGTTTTGTCTCCATTGCTGAAAAGAAATTTATTAGAGAATGTAAGTTTTTATACATGATGCTACAGTAGGTATGATTTACATGTTGACATTGTTGATACTTTTAAAACCACCTACTTTTCTACTTGAAGTAGCTCTATAATCTCAAAATGAACAGTCACAGAAAACATACTAACTGTCTATACCTGGCACAGTACATCTCCCATAACATAACCTTCCTATAACTTAATAAACATTACTTCATAAAACAACATGTAAGTCCTCCAGCTGAGACCAAATTGAGTGAAGAAACTTTTTAAACTTCAAATTTCTTGTTTAATTTAATTAGTTCACATACTGCGTTAATCACCTAAAGGAGCAAGTTAAAAATTACAGTAGTTAGTAAAGCCAATGCAAAAAAAAGTCCCAAGTGCTTCCACTAACTCATGTAAAAGTTGCTCTAAAATACAGAGAACTTTTACATTAACAGTCTGAGAGGGAAGGAAGAGGAAAACAGACTTGAGTTTGTCTTAAAGTACTGCTGATGCTACTGGGATTCAAGGTTAGACAATCTTTATAGTATTCTGTCACTATTAGATATGGACTAAAATACAGCAAAACATGTTTAAAGCAAGATTATATTAAACTTGAACTTACATCTTCTTAAAGAGATCCTCTATGTCAGTTCGGGGACATATCTTTTGGGTGAGCTCATAAAATTTCTCGTAAGTAAATGCTGCAGGCTCAATTTCATCATTCTGCAACAAAATGCAAAGGCACATTTATCCAGAAAAGAGATTATGTGCTCTTTTCCCAAAAGAATATCTTATATCAGAAAGGGCAACTGAGAACTGTTTTAACTCTTTACCTATTATAGTTTACCTAGTTTCTTTCGCACTGTCTGAAAGAAGTTCTATATCATCTTTATCATAGATATGTTTAATGTGATTATACTCTGACTTCAGAATTCAGTAACTCTACATAAACACAGAGCTGGAAAGAGTATTTTTCTTCCTGAAGCTTAAAAAACCCCTAGAAGTTCAAAACAGTGTACAGACTTTGGGATACTTATATTGAAGCCAAGGAACATTGAGAAGTTCCAGGTTTGGTGCAATGGTTTTAGAAAGCAAATCAGCTTTCATACAGGGGCACGTAAAACTTCCATGAAGGATGTAACACATGGATAACATATTCAGTATCACGTCCTTCTCTGAACAAGTTAAGAACTGTAGCAGTGCGGAAAAATCTTGTCTCAAGTGCCAGGCACTGCCATGGCTGAGGGTACATGTGTTTTTACACCCCACCTCCCCAGCTGGAGATTGCAGCCTCGCCAGGTGCTTGCTGCAGTCACACCAAGAAGGGCTGGAGTCTCCAAAATGAAAGAAGGGAGACAGGGCAGGGTATAAAGCTGAAAAAAAGAGTGGTAACCGTAACCAGCCATTACCTCTGTGGGGCTGCTGGAAGGGGCATCTGCTGCAAGTGGGGCAGAGTTGGACAGCAGCTCTCCAAAGGAGAGCAAAGAGCAGGAGGAGTCCAAGAAATTCAACAAAAAAAGTGTTACATACATATTTTGTGCTCATATACCTTGTATAAGTGAACCAAAGGCAGCCTGACAGAAAAGAAGGGAAACCTCGCCTAAAAGGTTTAAGGACCCCTGTGTTACACAGATATAATTAAATTTTGGCTTTAGTCAACAACCTACAGTGATTACTGAGTTACTCGTGAACAATGGGAATGTTTTTTGTGATGCAAATGACTTAGAATACAGCTACAAATGTGAATGAACCATCAATTTATTACTATACAAAAAGAGTTATTCAAAACCACTAAATAAATACCTTTCCACTGGGAAGACCTAATTCCTTAAGTGCCTGAAAGATCACTTTTTCTGTTTTACCTGATGCAAAGGTTCTGGTAATGCTATAAAAAAAAAAAAAAGAAAAAAAACAGTGGAGAAAAAGAAAGATAAATGTTAGTCACTTTTTAAGCAATCAGTTCTCTGTCTCTTGCTTTTACTGCCAACAATTTCCTCTGGCTTCAGCTGATGAATGTAAGCATCTTCCAAGTAACAGTGCAGTTGAAGAAGTGCTCTAAGCTTCACAGAGCAGCACTGCTCTGCCTGCAAGCCAGCCATAGGAAAATAGATCAAAATAACGAACTGCAAAAAGAACAAAAGAGGGTTTTTTCCCCAATATACTAGGATACAGAGCAATGCAAAGTATCCTTCTGTTTGTTCTTTTAAACTGTGTGCATAGATAAATCTGTTGAAGAAATAGCAGACTTTACAAGTGAGAAGATTCGTGTCTCCAGCCATTCGTGGTTGTGGTTACTCCCCTTCCATTGCAAGCATTAACCCGTGCTTCCCAGGTCACCCATAAGGTAGGTGTGGACCATTCCCAATGGCAGCTTCCTTCCTCTTTTCAAGCCAAATCTCACTCCCTGCTCCCTCACTGGCTGCAATGCTCACGTCTCTCTCTAGATGCTCCCTCACACCCATTGTGAATATCCTGTTCTAATCATACTACACACAAATCCTTTAGGTAAGTCTCAGATGCCACTGATAAATTGTCACCAAACTGAGTAGTGTCCCATTCCCTCTGCAAAGCAGGGATGATTTCACCATGCATACGACTGACAAACTGTTTTCACTTGGAATGAAATAAATCCCAGGAGAGATTAGCTATTTGGTGTGATTAATGTCAAAGTGTTTGGTCTATTTCTGTTTCCATTTGAGATGAGTTTGAATAACCTCTGACTCTGGAAATGTAGATCCAAACTTGACAGCTCTCATGCCTCTGTTTAGGGTCTAAGTTAAAAGGATGTGTCCCACAACACCTGCATTCTGGTGTCTCAATCTGGAGAGAAAAACTGAAGTCTGTATCCAATACCTATTTCTAATGCTAACAAAAGTTGTCCATTGGGAAAGACTCTGTAGTTGCTGATAAGAACATTCTGCTATTTATCATCAAGTCAGGCAAACATTTGCTGAGATTTTTGGTTTATCTCATGCATACTAAATAATTTCATGTGGAGAGAGATGTGTAACAAACTGTTGCTATTATTTGTTGCCATAGCAATTCACAGTTGTTTTACTCTCCAAAACACTACGAACTGCCTATGTAAATATTTTCATACTAATAAAATTGAGATCAGGAAGTGAAATATCTAAATGATAAAATAATATTTTAACAAAACTCAGCCAATTTTTTTTCCTTACTGGGTTCTTACAACAGTTAGATGTCTATGTCCCTATTTAGGCATCTAAGTTAGTTATTTGATTTTCCAAAGCTGATAAGTAGCAAGATATTTTCACTAAAATATAGACTGAGTTTAACTTTAGGCACTTGTTTCTTCAAAAAATCTCAGGCATCTATTTTTCTGCTTATTCTAAAACAGAGTAATGTTAGCTCTACAATTTATAACCTATTTCCAGCTCTCTAAAGAATTCTATGCCTGTTCTAATGAACTGGGCCCCAATAATAAATGTCATGTAAAACACATAATATTGGCATAAGTAATTAGTCAGAAGCTGTGTGCCAAGACTCCGTGGCTGCAGGGAACTTATTTTTGATGCCAAACTATTTTTTTATTTCACCAAAGATGACAGCAAACATAGCAATAATTTGTAATAAGAGCAGCAGTCTAGAAAAGATTGCATGAATCAAAAAAAGATGGTAAAAATATGTGACAATTTCATTTTGCTAAGGCTACCAGAAATAAAACTGCTTTGCCCTCTATCAGAAGAGACTTCCTCCTAGCAGATTTCCATTCACTTTGTTGTGGACCTACAGGTGTTTACTCCCCATGTTCTATCTACAGTGGTTTGGGGCTTATGGTAACATGTCAATGTACAACCTCATAAATATTTAAAATACTCCCTAACTCTGGGACTCAGGGGTACAAATCCATCATGCCTGTTGATGGATTAAATGACTGGGTTTCTTCAGACCTTCACCACTTTCCAACCATTACTTCAAAAATCAAATACAAAATCAACACAAAAAGTGGAAATCAATCTTCTATCATGGCTCCACTGAATTTATTAGCTTGGCTTGAACTGGAAGTACCTCTGCCTACACTGCACAAGAAATTATCTAACTTAGATTTCCAACCAACATGAAAGTACTGAAACAGATTTCTTCCAGACACTGTGGAGTAGTCCATAGAAAATATATTTACAAAAAATCCTCTACTTTCAAATTACCTTGATTACTGTAAAACAGATTTAAGCTTTGTTTGTCATAGTCTAGCTTTTTTCCTTTTTTTAAATACATATTTTCATAGTTAGAAGCTACATTTGCTTAAATCCTATTAAATGTAGTTATACAAAAGGATAAGCATAGATTGAGCACAGCTAATTTCTAAACTGGCTCTGTGTTAACAGGTGCAACCCACACATGTAGAAAATCCATTCGCTGCCAACAAAAAGCAGCAGAAACCAAGTAGATTTCTTTTTAGTCATCACTTAGAGTAGTGTTAATATCTGAAATACAAATTATCTTACAAATGCCCTGTCCTTGTAAGATCTGTAGGGTGTAATTCTACACCTACAACTGCTAAAATTTATTAAAGCCCAAAAGGCAAAACTGCTACTCTGCTAAGATTTTCACACTGCTGGCAGAATAACACAGTAGGTTGATAGCAATAGATATATGCCCCAGAGTACGTTGAAATTGAAAAGTAGCTGAGAAGAAACTTTGCAACTCTGCAACCCCCAACTCTGCTAATGAGGAGTCAGGAATATTTATGTCATTTACCACCACAACAGCCCAAGGAATTTCACCTTCTCAAGGCACATCATTCCTTGTGGCCATGTGTTAGTTGCAAAAAATCTATCTTAAACCTGAGAAGAAATGCAAGGAGCTCTGATTTTGCAGGTGCGATTTTTTTTTGCCCTTGGGTGTTTTACTGCAAAAATGTTTTACCTGTTTTACTGTAAAAATGAAATACAGATGGATCTTGTGATATGCATTCCTACAGTTTAACATTATCTGCTAGTTATTGTTTCTGAGAGAATAACCTTCCTATCTATATCCCCAGAGCTGCAGCAACTCCTACAGAAGTCCCTGGAAGCAGCAGGAGGTGGAGGCTGAGGAAGCAGGGCTCACTAAACAACACTGGATTTAAAGACAGCTAAAAGGCAAGGGCTGACCATCCTACACCAACATAGTGCATTCCTTGGAGAATCCAGATGTAAAGGTGACTCAGCTTCATGGAATAGTAGATCCCTACAATTTTATGAGCAAACTACTTCTGCAATAAATTAAGGTGCCAGAGACTGATTTATGTCAACCTGGAAATAGTGCAAATTTGAATTTAAGATTTACTACACTGGAACCAGTGGACTGGACTATCTGGAGTAATAAGTAGCCTTGTCTGCAGACACAAATCAGTGTGCTGCAGCACAATGGAGAGAATTTATGCCTCACTAAATGTGATGTAAAATATTTAAAGGCAGAAACCATTTCAGACAAGACAGCAAACAATAAATTCATACTGAGGAATGGAGTTCCGTGTTCAAACACAGGCATTAAAGCTCTAAAGCCTTGAAAATTACTTTGTCCCTGTAGCATTGTTCCCTCATCGTTACCCTTCAGTTGATACTCCTCATGGGACTTCTGCACAGAAGGTGCTTCACGGCAGATGAGTTTGTGAAACAAGCAGGGACTTGGCCATGTGAAAGCTGAAAGATTAATACACTGAAGCAGCCTTAACACTGTCAAGGTGTCGCTTGAATCATGAAACTAAAGACACCAGGAAAGCAGCATGGCAGGGCCTTCATCTTCTGGCAGATTCTACAGACGCAAAATCCTCTTTTTCTCCCTTGAAAAAAATGTTCTGTGATGCTTTTATCTTACAAAGTCCTCCTTCTTGCTCCTTCTACAAGTTTCTACTTATGAAAAAACAGCATGCCCCAAAAGTGTGGTTTTCATGTACTACATGAAGAGAAAACAGCTCAGTGTATCAGCAAGAATTAATTTCTGAAGCAGGAGGGGGGAGAATTGCTGTCTAGCCAGAGAGAACAGAAAATCAGTAACTTGCAATAGTTAATAGCTGTAAAGAAAGAAATACACTGTTTTAGCTTTCCTGTTACTGACAACTAACCCAACAATTCATTAAAAAAACAAGTATTATCCTAGGGGATCCTATAAAAGCAAATGTATTTTTGGCAGAGCTATATACCTCTTTTACAAGGACCTAAATTTTGAAGTGTACCTTTTTGTCCTCTGCTTAACTGGTCTGAAAGTTTTTATGGTTCTTTTGGCAAGTATTTTATCAAATTTTACAAGTGAAAAACCTATTGCAGAGTTTGAGGAGTCTTAAGCTGAGAAATCTGATACTCTTAGCTCTAAGTGACTTTTAAAACTATTACAAGCACTCATATCTTCATTACAACGGATGAAGAAAATTGTTAGACTGATAAAAATTTCTGTCTAGTTTACTGGGGAGGTCAGCCAAGTATGTCTAGTTCTGTACTTATTCTTACATATGTATTAGTAATAATTGATATTATATTTTATTACTAAGCTACAGGATTTTATTAACATTATAGAACCAGTACCTGACAAAACCTGGAACTCCCAATGGTGCTTACCTCCGAACTGGAATTTTGCCATTTGTGTTTGTTAGAAAGGCGAGCTTCATCCAGCTGAAATTAGAATGAAACACATTTAAAATATTGTTTTGAAAAAATATTCATATTTAGCTTATGATTATGTGAAATGAAATGAGTACAAGGAAATGATTGTTCTGTAATCAAAACATTTTTCTGTAACCTTTTAGCGCTTGAGGCAGAGCAGTTCTGTAAAGGCAAAAAGCAGTCCAAAAAAATCAGTACAGCAATTAACACAAGTGTGAAGGCAAGAGAGTCTCTTGGGGTTTTGCTTGCATATGCATCAATGAAAGAACAAAACAGAAAATAATTAAACCATACAATACAATAAATCAAATGAATAGTTATAAATTCACTTATAGTTTCTCCTGGGCAGGTGCCAGATACAGCCTTGAGACCTCAATGAAAGACAAACTCTTAACTAATTTAACACCATTTTCTTTATTCAACGATTTTGTGAGTGCAAATGTTGAACTATGAAAAAAAATTATTTTTCTTTAAAGTTCAAGAAGGAAAATACAAGGACAGCAGAAGAAAGAAGAAAGGAGAGGAAAGAAAGTAACTTACTGTTTCTTGAGACATGTCATTGGACTGACATTGTTAGCTCTAAAGTTATGTATGATGGATCCAAGCCCTTCTACCCATTGCTGAAAAACACAACAATACAGAAACATCAAATTAGGAAACCTGAAGAAGGAAGTAGTAGGAAAGTTTGTCTTGGGGGAAGGCTCTTCCTTGCAGCTATGGATAATGTGTTAAGGATAACCTGTGCTGGGGAAAAAAAAAAACCCACTTCATCACAGCCTGTACCGTGAAAAACCCCTGCTACGTTTTGCCCATCACTACTTCATCCTTCACTAAACAAAGGGATTGTGCTTTCCATTCTCCCAAATACTACATGTAGTATCAGTGGTGCTATTAAATCAGTTTATTGCCAGCCAAGGCAAGTGATCCATTAATTGATTTATTAAGCCTTCTATTTCTAGCCTGTATAAACATTTCCCTCCCTTTCAGTGGTGGCTGGCAGTGCCAGCTATTACTAAGCAACATTATACAGTATGTGATGACATACTTAACTGGTCCAGTTTTAGAAAAGGAAATAAACAAAATATTAATAAGCTAAAGCAAACCACAGGGAGACACTACAATTGCTCTGTGACGCCCACCTCACTGAACACCCTGTCACATATTCAAGTCCTGCTTGCTTTCTTGCTTTGATCCTTAAAAAGCACAACATTCCCATAATCACTGGGATGAGTTTCAGCCAACAGTAGCATTACAGCACTTACTTATGTAATTCCTTTTTTATGGGTCTATTTTTCTACTATAGCCTGCATCTAGACTTCGCAGTACTGTATCGAAGCAGCTTAAGGATTAGGCCCTAACATGAACACTCATTGATTTCAGCAAGAATCCTGGCAGGATAAAGCTATAGGAAGAGGGGGGGAAATGACAGCATTACAAGCCAAGTTTGATCTCAATTATGCCATTGTAACACTAGGATTACTCAACAGATAATTTACACTGGTGGAACTGAGATGGGATTTGGTCCACTGCTAAACATTAACCTTATGAATAAAGAAGCTTCTTGCTTCTGGCCAAATTCTATGCATGCAGCTTGAACTGACTTGGGCAGGATCCAGAATTTGACACTTAAAAATAGATGCAGATTGAGTGCATTTTTCTTTTCATGAATGAGTGCTGTACATCTGCAAAACAGATGAAAAAATCATTATTTCTATTAGAGGAATACTAAGGCCTTTGGAAAATGGCATATTGTACACTGCAGGCAGCAAATCCTTGAGGGCTGAAACAAGGTCTAAGGGGTCAATTCAACACAAACACACTTAAGTAATCCATTTTGCTTTGGGAAAAACAGCCACTTATTAAGACATGTATTAATATTTAATACCCTTTTATAAGTTAGTTTTTAAGTACTGCATAAAATATGCATTCAAACAGATTGAGTGTGTATCTGAGAATCATTTGAAAATAAAAATCTGACTTATGTGAAAATCTGACTTATGTGTATTTGGGGTTTTCTTAGGTGTGTTTTTGTGCTTGAAAACAACCCACTAGTAACAGTCTGCCCTTCCATCTCTTTTTCCAAGTGCATGAGTAAGATGACTTAGTCATAGGATGAAGGTACTGTCTAAGAATTAGAACTGAACTAGAAGCCATTGACAGATTTAGGAAACACATTTTTTCTACAAATGTTCCCTCACCTCAGATGATAAAGGAACAGAGCTTGTGATAATTTCAGGGTAATTGCCCTTACGTGCATCTCAGTTTCCTAGAACTGCCAAAATTCAACTATCTCACTCAGCTGTCATCGACCACCTACATTTGGGGTTTGGTTGTTTGTTTTGGTTTGTGA